GACGCGGGGCCAGACCCTCCCCAGCCAGCCTCCATCCCTTTTTCTGCTCTGAAGGGATGCGGGAGCACAGACAAACACGGAGGGCTGGGAGCAGCGTTGGGCTCTTTAAACTATTTGGCCCCAGCTCCTTCTCTATTCTGGCCCGTGTGCTGCTCCCAGCTGAATTTTTGAGAATATTTTTATCAGCTTTTCCTTTTTTTGCCAAAAAATGACTTATTGTCAACAAAATGTCTTTTTTTGCCGAAGCCAAGCGACTGGGCCTGTTTTCACCAGCCCCAGCCCTGACCCGGCGTATTCCTCCCTTGGTGCTGGTGTGCTCGGGGGGCTGTCAGGCTGACCAGCCCCTATGGCTGTCACCGGGTCCTGTCCTGGGGTGCCAGTGGGGACTGCAGAGCCGAGGCCATGCTAGTGCAGCGTGGGGTAAACCGTGCTGGCTCCTGAGCTGACTGTTTGGGGGTGGGTTATCCCTGCCTCGGATCTCCCATCAGGATGGGCAGTTCCCAAAGGCACTTTCCTGGTAAGGCAGATGAGGCAGCCACGTCCCCGTGGCAGATCAGCATCAGCAGTGTGTGCTTGCAGGTCTTGGGGGGTCTGACGGATGAGGGACAGTGTCTAGGGTGCTCCTGCCAGCAGGGACGTGCGGCTGTGGTTCTGTGCCTGCCAGAGAAGAGCTGAATCCAGGCTTGTCAAACAGGTTTTCCTGCATGCGGGGTGAACTGGGGGAACAGGGAGAGCCTGGGTTCCTCAGCCACCTGACTTGTACTCGGCAAGCTCCTCCTGCAGTCCAGAGCCAGGGCAGGAATCTGTGCTGAACTGCAGCACGGCGCAGTCTGCCTGGAGCAACAGCTCGGGTCATGCAGCAGGGAAAGTAAAATGCAGAATGGAGCTAATTTTTCCTTTCAGAAATAACTTCAATTGTCCCAAGCTGGTTTGGAAACTATTGACGCTAGGAAGGAAAGAAGCACGAGCCAAGCAAGGGCTGTGCTGCACTTTCATCAGGAGTTAGAGTTTTGGGTTTATGCCCTGTATCCCCCAAGCCTTCTGCTGGCGGGAGTGCTTTGAAGGTCTCAAACGCCCCTTCATTTCCAATACTGGCCTTATGGGACATAAACACGGGAGCTGGTACTCCATCGGGAAGCCAGAACGAGATGCCACGCGTAGCCTGGGTACGGCACGTGCCAGAGAGCCGCCCGGTTTCTTTGCAGTTCCGCGATGGCTCCTTCAGCGTGCCCATGCCGTGTTAAACTCACACTCCCCTTTTCCTGGAGGAGAGGCAGCTCCTAAATGCCCTTTAACTGTGCTTTGGTGATGGCAGAGTTAACTTCTCAGCTGCCATCCGCTGGGTTTTTTTCTTTTACCAGACTATAAACTTTGTGTGGTTTCCTTAATGGGAAGAATTTAATGCAGCTCCTGGCACTGGCTACATTTCCTACTGAAAGTTTATGCTGCTCAGGGTGTTCTTTGTGGGACGTGCAGCACCCAGGCACAAGCTGGAGTTGTTAACAGCTGGCAAAACGTCACGGAGTCAGGCATAGAAGGCAACAAAACCTACAGCGTTTGGCAGTGCAGGCTGTTTCCCCGTGGGGAGCACAGGGAGATGGGCATGTTCGGTTTGCAGTGAGGTGGCACAGTTTGGGAACCTCCCAGTGCCTCTTTGGAGGCTCTGTGTGCTCTGTGCGGTCCCGCCTGATCCCTCTGCAGAGGCTGGGCTGTGCTGGAGTGACGCTGTGGTCAGCCCCGCTCTGGACGGTTTGTGTCCCAGCTCAGGGCTGTACCTCTCTGTGGTGGTGTCCTTCCCACCTTGTTCTGCTTTTCCCTGCATCCCCGTGTCCTGGCCAGGAACTGTCTGGGAAAAGTTTCCAGACTTCTCAGCAGCTAATCCCTGACCCTCTCCCCCTGCTGTCGCCCTGCTCTTGTTTTTCTGCTCTTGGCTGAGGGAGGACGATGGGATCTCTGGCTGCCCCTCCTGTCTCCCAGCCTGATCTCAGCAACCACAGAGAGAAAGAAAGTTCATGCGCTGCAAATTCCTCCCCCCTGACTGTGGGGAAGCTGCCCGTGCGGAAGAGACGGCGGGGAGACGGACAGATTAGATGTGGTTCGTGCAGGCACGGGGTTAAGGAACACCTTCCCACGTCTCTGCTCTGGAGGGGGAATCCTCAGGCATCCAGAGATCTTTCTTATCTTGTCTGAAAGCCTCGTACGGAGGAAGTCAGACTCGGGATGCTGGCCTTGGCGTGCCGCATTCAGACCACTGCCCCAGCTCCCCTTTCCCTGCCCGTGTTTCCCCGCAGAGAGGCAGGAGGTCTCGCTGTGTGAGGGACCACAGACCCTCAGCTGCAGTCCCTCCTTTTCCTTCCAACACAGTGAATCTCTTTGGAAGGGCTGCGAAGGTGCTGTGTGTCTGTGCTCCCCTTTAAAGGCTGCTGCGTGCCACGGCACGGTGCAGAGAAGCCCAGCTCTCCGGCCCAACGGTGCGTGCAGCAATGCTCTCCCCTGCTGAGGCTGTCATGCTCCGATTCCTGCTCCACACCAAACCTCCTGCCCCTCTCCCTGCTCCAAGGCTTTCCCATCTGTTCGCCCAGAGCGGATGGCGTTTGGACAGGCAAGGCTGGCAGAGCAGGGAAAGGTGCTGCTGGCTGCACAGAGCTCCCTGGTAATGGCCATGCAGAAGGGCTGGGTCAGCTTCTCGCCCCAGGACAGTCAGCTCGGCTGGGCAAAGGCATCCTGAGGTGCAGAAGGTTTTCACTGCCCTCAGAAAATAAAAATCAGACACCCCAGAGGGCCCTTGGTGCTGGAGGAGAGGGCTGGCCGGGGGGATCCAGACTGCTGGGGAGGAGAGCTGCTGTCTCCCTCTTTTCTCCCCTTTCACTCCCAGTTTTCCAAGGCTGCTTTTCGTGTGTTCAGCCAGCCCGTGGGGATCTTTCCCTCCTCCTCAGGCTCTACCACAAGCAATTACATGAGCATTGCTGGTGGAAACGCGCGAGCAGTAGATCAGCGCTGCAGGGCTCTCAAGAAACACCCCCAGGTTGTGCATCACCTCGCACACTGTTGGGGTGCTCGGGCAGTAAATGAGGACCCCGGCCCT